GCCTGAGTCAGTTCACATAAAATTTGAAGCAAAAAATAAGCTAACCAGGAAACTTAAAAGGAAAAGCTTGGAAATTAGCATTGATAAGCTCCATCATAATCTAGAAGGTCACACACATGTGTAACTGTGTGCATATATAGGTCTGTGTGCATACTCAGGAAAGACCTGAGAAGGTCCTAAGCTCTTGCCTCTGGCTGATCTTGATGCTCCACACAAGCAGTAAGTGAAGGCTGAGGTAGAGTTGTAATTTTCCTGGCTGAACGTTGAAGGTATGTCCCAATGCACACACGTACAACCTCTCAGGAGAGGCTGGGAGACCTACAGATTTCAGGCATATAAAGAAATCTCTGCCCAGTCATTAGCTGACCACTAAGCTAACTCAGCAGAGACTTTGGCAGCCACACATGACAAAGAATTACAGACTTTACAGAATTATTTTAGAAAAGTCACTAAACAAACAACAATAACAAAAAGCTACAACAACAAACCCTGGGGAGGTGAAAGAATTTGATATACAGAGTGGCCACATTATATTATTTAAAAGGTTCAGTTTTCAACAAAACATTACAAGACATTATGGCTCGTACACAAGAAAAAAGCCAATCAATTAAAACTTTCACTGAGGAAGTCCAGAAGTTGGACTTATTATACAAATAATTTAAATCCACTTAAAATAAATATGTTCAAAGAACTAAAGGAAACCACATCTAAAGAACTAGAGGAAAGTATGAGAATGGTGTCTCTCCACATAAAGAATATCAATATAAAAGATAGAAATTACAAAGACAAACCAAATAGACATTCTTGAACTGAAAAATAAGTGAAATGAAGAATTCAATAGAGGAGTTCAACAGCAGATTGGAGCAGGTTGAAGAATCAGTGAAGTTAAAGATATATCAATTAAGATGATAAAGTTTGAGCAAGAGACAATAAATAAAAATGAACAGAGCCTCAAAGACCTATGGAATACTATCAAACATACCAACATATGTATAACGATGTCCCAGACAAGAGAAGGGCAGAAAAAATATTTGAAAATTAATGGCTGAAAATTCCCCAAATTTGATAGAAAACATTAATGTGCAAATCCAAGAAGTTCACCAAGTTCCAAAAAGGACAAACACAAAGAGATCAACATTCAGACACATCACAGTCAAACTACCAAAAGATAAAAGGAGCATCTTGAAAGCAGCTATAAA